CACTCTTATGTATTGTGCATGGGTATATATGTGTGTATGTGCATGTAAATATATGGATACACACTGCATTTGGATATGAAGTTAACCAAATAATGATATAATACAGACTAGTAACGTGATATAAACCATCTACTCTCATAGTGCTAAAAGATGTACAATGATATTTCAGACTGAATGAGGAACCATGGAAGCATAGTTACATCTACTAGTCTCAATGTCAAGAAGAAAGCAGTTTAGTAACAACATGAAAAATAATACAAAATACAATGCATTGAGCACTTATTATGTACTATTTTCTAAGCTCAAGGCTTTCTATGTAGATTACTTGTATAACCTGCACTTTTATCCCAGTACTGTTAAAAAAGACAGTAGAGAGGTCTTGTTAACTGATTTAGGTCATACTGGTTATAATGGATCCTGGGTTTGAGCTCTGTCTGCCTTCATGTTATCCATTTGACATAGAGTAGGAAGATGAAGGGATTGTTCAATTTTGCCTTATTGGGCCTTAGATATTCCCAGGAGATGTCTGGGTGAGACCTGAAGGAAGTTTAACAACCTTTCTACTGAAATAAAATATACAAGTTTGGCAAGTGGAATTTTTCAGAGGTCCTTTCTACTCTGTCTGAGCCTGGAGTTGTATTACAGGAAATCAATTACCAAAAGTTTGAACTACACATAATAAACACCAAGGAGTCCAATGGGAATCATAGTACTAGTTTACTTACCTCATTACCGTAAAAACCTTACAGACGTGCAGCTATGGGTTGCATTTCTTTTGAGGGGAATACACGCCATCACCATTAAAAATAATTTCTCAACTCACTTGATTTATTCTAAGGTATGTATTTTCTGCTTCTCCAATAATTTCCAGCAGTGACAAGTCAAGACTGTATACAGATGCCACTAGAAGAGTCTCTGGCATCGATCCCAGCCGACAGCTGGAGTTTGCCCCAGTGTCAGTGTGTAAACCCAGGCACCTGCAGAGCTGCCCCCACGGTGAGCCAGGCAGCTCCGAGGCAGGAGTGCACCGCATTCCCACAGCAGTTAGGGGGACACGCCAGGGTCATGCTGCTATTGTAGCTGCATGAGTTTGCCTACTTCATCGCAGAGCTAACATGTCAGTAAAAGTGGGGGAAATTACGCAAGAAAATGGAGGAAGTACACAAATAGAGGAAGGGATTCTAGAAGAGGTAAATAAATGTTCATATTGGGTGGAAGATGGAAAAGTGTCATGTAATTCTGAGCTGGATGGTCAGGGAAGTGTTCACAGTCATTAAAAAATTGTTGCTGTCGAAGTCACGCCTACCTTTAACAGGGCTTCAAATTGAGTGTCTTCATGGACTGGTAATTGGGTTGGGATATCACACTCATTCTGCCCATGAACCACCAGGGTTTTGGTACCTACAGAAGGAAAAATCATAATGAACTGACTTCTACTATAGAAAATTAGTAAGGCACAAAATATTAAAATACTATCAACAAGCTGATATTTTTATTGTTAAGATTATTACTACTAGTACTTAATGTGAATTGTGTAGTATATTAACTACACTCATCTATTTCTAGTTAAATATATATTTTAAATATATTCATTTTCTAAATAATTACAGCTACCATTTATGGAGTTCTAAATACCTTATCATGTAAGTTATGTGCATGATCATATATAATCTCACAGCAACTCTAATATGGGCTTTACTATTTTCTTTCTTTTTAATATTTTTTAAAAATATGTTTTTATTGATTTTAGAGAGAGAGAGGGAGGGAGAGAGATGGAATCATTGGTAAGAAAGAAACATCAATCGGCTGCCTCCTGCACACCCCCTATTGGGGACCGAGCCTGCAGCGGGTGCATATGCCCTGACTGGGAATCGAACCTGCGACATTCAACTACTGAGTCATACCGGCTAGGCATGGGTATTACTATTTTCATCTTACAAATGAGGAAATAGCATTTATTCTTATAAGTAAGAACTTATAAGTAACTTATTCAATGGAACACATTTATTTAGTGGAAGAGTCAGAATTCAAACCTTAAGCATTGCAACAAATATGTCCTGTATTTTAAATGAGATGATCAGGTAATAATGGCTGAGAAAATATAAACAGAAATATTAGGAAAACCAAAACAAGTACTTTAAATATAGTTTATTTTATTTTTTTAAATATATTTTATTGATTTTTTTACAGAGAGGAAGGGAGAGAGATAGAGAGAGTTAGAAACATCGATGAGAGAGAAACATCAACTAGCTGCCTCCTGCACATCTCCTATTGGGGATGTGGCCGCAACCCAGGTACATGCCCTTGACCGGAATCGAACCTGGGACCTTTCAGTCCGCAGGCTGACGTCCTATCCACTGAGCCAAACCGGTTTCGGCTAAATATAGTTTAAATGTACATTTTCAGTATTCTACTTAGCCAGTGAGGCAGTACTTACTCTACTTCATTCACTAATTAGAATCTTTGTGAACATTATGATGTACCTTGATTTTTAATGCTTTGTTTTTTAAGATTATGAATGAAAATATGAGTCTATTTGTTATAATAAAAACTGATCACTTTGTTAACTTATCTACAGAACATATGTAATTACACAACTAGCAGTTATTGAATGCTTACCATGAGTCAGGTACAGTAGTGAGAATTTTACATACCTAAACCCATGAATTGTGAAGTATGGTTATAGCCCCATTTTACAGATGAGGAAAGAACGCTTGAAGAATTATGAACTTTTTTATAGCTAATACTAATTATACAGACGATAAAGGGCAGTTCTCTGATTTTAACACAGGCTTCTTTGCTGCCCGAACCTGTGTTCTTATACATAATTGTGTCTTTCTTTTTACATCAATACATGTATCGTCTCATATTTCCCTAGTCACTGCACAAGGATAAAGGCTTTGCAAAATTTTTATCTTAAACAAAGACAAGCGATTCAAAGTGAAAAGAAACTGTATCTAGAGTTTACATCACACTTCATGTTCTTTTGTGATTCTCTTCCTGATTTTCCCTTTTCCCTTTTTTCATAAAGCCATCTCTCACTGAGTTTACAAAGGACCGGGGCCCGTGCCATGCAAACAATATTTATTCTCCTTGCAGTGCCAAAAATTCGTTCAAAAAGGCTTTCAGCTCAGCTGGCCCTCTGCGATAGACTTAAATAAATCTGTAACCTTGGCAGCCCTTCAAGGCCTGATTCACCGGGATCTCAGTTCTGATGTCTCCCTTTTCATCTGGCAATTGCTAACTCTTAAAGGGCCTATTGTATTTTTTTTCAGATTGTACTAAACAAAAATTCTTTGAAGCACTCAACACCAGGGTCAGGACTCTGAAAATTTTCTCATGAATGAAAGAGATGCTTGGTCTTTAAAAGGGTTATTTAGAACAAACAGGATAGAAACAGACTCACAGACACAGAGAACAGACTGATGGCTGCCAGAGGAGAGGAAGGTTGGGGTGGGATGGGTGAAAAAGGTGAAGGGATTAAGAAGTACAAATCGGTAGTTACAGAGGAGTCATGGGGGTATCAAATACAGTAGAGGAAATATAATCAGCGATATTTTAATAGCTATGTATGCTGTCAGCTGGGTACTAGAAATATTGGGGAATCACTTTATAGAGTATATGGTTTCCTAACCCCTATACTATACACCTGAAACTAATACAAAGCAATATTGAATGGAAACTGTCATTGAAAAATAAATTTAAAAAAACCAAATCATAAAACGTTACTTAAAGAAAATGTCGTGCCGTCCGAAAGCAGTGGTGGATTACCTGGCATTGAGGCGGTCACCAGCAGCTTCACCTCACACTGCTCTTTCTTCATGGTCTGCTTCAGGTCCTTGAAGAAGAGGCCCTCCACGTAGCCCACCACCTCCCACAGGAAGGTCAGGGTGGCAGAAATGGCATCCATGCCCCACTCGCAAGGGGTCCGCACAAAGTACATGATTAATCCCACCTGCGAGGCAGAACAGGGCGAGTTCACACAGCCACAGTGATCTCGAGTGCACATTCTCATTTCCGTGGCTTTTTTTGCTTGTTTAAATCATCTTTTGGACCTTTGTATTTTCTGTTCAAATACTTCTCCAACACTTTCTTTTTAAAAGATTTTTATTGACTTTTAGAGAGAGGGAAGAAGGGAGAGGGAGAGAGAGAGAGAAACATGGATGTGAGAGCGAAACATTGATCGGCTGCCTCCAACGCATCCCCTAATGGGGATTGAGTCCGCAACCTGGGCATGTGCCCTGACCGGGAATCCGAAGGGCAACACTTCGGTGCTGGGGATGATGCCCAATCAACTGAGCCACACTGGCCAGGCCTCTCCAACACTTGCAATGGCAGTGGGCAGGAGAGGGTGAAAAGCTGATCAGAATAGATTGCTGCCCATTTATATGTGTTGCTAAAAATGGTGCTTGTTAAGAGGAAATCAGAAGACCAGTTTTCCAGGCTTCAAGTCACTTGTCGCTCAGGGAGTTAGGTGACCTAATAATAATCTCTATAAGATGTTTGCCCAAACACTGTTGGCAGATCGGGTTATGTCTATAGGTCTGAACCGAAGAACACTCTGCCTGTTTGGCTAAGTCGGTGAACTTTAAAGCTGCTGTGTCCTCTCAGTAACTTTGAAAAGCGGCATGTCCTTCTGTACATTTTAAGCTGACATTTAAAATGTCTCATTATAAGGCTATTTGTTGTTAATAGGAACAGAATACATTAAACATTCTATACACTGAAATAAGAGCAGGACTGACTGTAACTGGAAAGTGTATTTCATCAACCTTGATGAAATAAGCTTTAACTGCCTTATTCAATTATGCCCAACAAAAATCAGGAAAAGATGTAAGGGTTCACACCCCTTTCAGTGGCTTTTAGCCATTGTTTCTTGAAAAACTTGCTAATCCTATACAATTTTCCAGTTACATTGAAATAATCAGTGTCACTGATCTAATCTGAAGGCTGAATAAGCTAATGAGGGTCAAATCTGTAAAAGACAGGAAAAGGTGGGAAGTCCTATGGATTCAAAGGGCCTTGATCAAGCAGAATGAGGCTTCCTTAAAACTAACAGTGCGTCAGACTCTTTCTCTGTCGAATGTGTCTGTCACTATGGCCTGCAGGTACCTGTGATGGTCAGGGTGGGCCTTTGTTTGTGCTGTCGGTAGAATGACGATTGAGATGGCAGGCCTGCTCAAACAGTGTTCGTACATATTTGTAAGTTGAGGATTTGGAGATTTATTCCCTTAAAACTTTGTGGGCAACACAGTCCTTTAAAAGTCTGTACGTATGCCCAGATGTGCTCAGACCCCAGGTTGACGATCTCTGAGTCAAGTTACGCAGTGGATTTAAATGTCCCTAATAATTGCCCAGTCAGCGTGGCTCAGTGGTTGAGTGACAACTTATGAACCAGGAGGTTGCAGTTCGATTCCTGGTCAGGGCATGTGCCCGGCTTGCGGGCTCAATCCCCAGTGTGGGGTGGGCAGGAGGCAGCTGATCAATGATTCTCTCTCTCTCTCCCTCTCTCCTCCTCTATGAAATCAATAAAAATATATTAAAATAAAATACATGTCCCTAACAAAGTCTGGAAGAGATGAATTAGTGTTCCAAATATCCCTATCACGCACATCTATAATAGTTGTTAGATAAAAGATGTATAATAAGGGTAATGGTTTAAAAACTGCTCTGCTCTTCACTATGGTGCCATTCTGAGTACAAGACCCTTTCCCTAGACCCCCTAAAATATCCATGTGCTTGGGATTCAGGGAAAGATTAGGGTTTACCAGTGGTTCTCAACCTTCTGGCCCTTTAAATACAGTTCCTCATGTTGTGACCCAACCATAAAATTATTTTCGTTGCTCCTTCATAACTGTAATGTTGCTCCTGTTATGAATCGTAATGTAAATATCTGATATGCAGGATGGTCTTAGGCGACCCCTGTGAAAGGGTCATTCGGCCGCCAAAGGGGTCGCGACCCACAGGTTGAGAACCACTGGTTTAGACAGAAATGCAGAAACAGAAATTTCTATTCATTCAAAACAAGGTTTTAAAGCAAAGACAAAGCATGGTTAGCCCTTTTCTCCTATGTATTACCCAGCTGAGAGGACTGTGTCTACCACTGAAGTTTTTTTGGAGTTGACAGAAAGGGAAATGAAATGTCCATCTTCGTATCTCAAGGCTAAAGGACGGAGGAGAGCAGTGGTCCAAGGAAGCATTTCCCATTCCTAGTGGCCTGGGAACGGGCAGGCACACCGCAGGGCCCTTGCTCCCAGTCTCTGTTCGGGTGTCTGACAAGAGTTCACCTCAGAGACGTTCCACACCAACCTGGATGCCACATCCACTGGGCAGAGCACATACCTGAGGGAGGCCTTGAGGTTTGGCTTTGGTGATTCTACCTTTGGCTTTTGTGTGATGTAGACAGGACAAAAAGGAGCAGAAGGTTTGGCTGGAGAGCTTTCCAGATAGAACTAGCATATGTCGGTGACATTTGTATAGGGTCCTCTAACTGGAGCCCTTTGGGATTCATTACCAGAACTCAGTAGGGACTGAGGTGAGGTAGAGTCTCCCGGCAATCACCGCTGGGAGCAGAGGCACCCCCAGTCACAGCAGCCGTGGGCTTTGGTGTCTACTGGCTGGGCATCCAGCAACCAGTCAGATAGAGGGCACCGTCTCATGAAGGCAAGAGCCAGAGCAAACATTGAACAAGGGATGGAACGCTGAACAAAGGTCTTTTTTCTTCCCAACTTCAAATGGTGTTTAAAGATGAAAGCCGTTGGAAGGGAAGGGAATTCCTAGAAACTAAGTATTTTTAGCCAAGAGACACTGAACACCATCCAAAGGTACTATTTATAGATTTTTATCAGTCTGAACTTAAAACTGGATTGGACATGATTTTTATTATTTCCCTTGTCAACCAGCAGGTGGGCACTCAGGAGGAAAACCAAATCAGTCATAGAGAGGAGAAAGGAATTACAAATGTTCTCTGCACGTGAATGTTGTAGTGTAAGTTACATTTACCATTTTGCTACAGATGCATATGAACAACTCTTCTACTTCCCAACCTGCTAGAAGACCAATGACAGTGATGGAGAAAGAAGAGTTTCTCTCAGCATAGAAATTTATTTGGCATCTGTCTGCCTGGATGAAGGTGCTACTTCAAAGAACAGGCATCATGTGAATAGTCCCCAAACTGCATATCCATTTAGGGTGCAAGGAGAATGCAAAGAAACTGATAAATTCTGGAGGGTGCAGAAAGGATGGCTTAAGGCATAGATAGTTCCCATACTAACGTACACTTACAAATACTTTCCGCCCAGGGCAACATGCATGTGTGTGTGTGTGTGTGTGTGTGTGTGTGTGTGTGTGTGTGTGTGTAAATAGTGAGATAAGGGGAAAATGACTAAAAACTACATATAGGTTTTCTCAAACCAAAATTAGGAACTAACATAAGGAAGTTGTATAATGCCCGAGGAAGACAGAGAGGAGGCTAACATTGATTGAGTACCCACCACCTATCAAGGACTGTGCCAGGAGAGGTTTCCCCACACATAGTGGGGAACTTAGCTGACTATGACATTTAGCTGACTACGATTCACCTTTAGTCACAAGTTAAGGGGAAGGCCTTTTCTCATGCTGTTGCTTCCTACTTGGAACGAACATTTATAATCTACTGGAGGCTGAAACTCACCAAATAGTTGAACAGGATGTGAGATGTTTGAGCAGGAAAGTCTCCAATATTCAGGAGAAGTTTGCGCAGCATGTACATTAATTCGTCCTGAAAGGGAAGAATTCAACGTCATTCAGCTGCCATGCTGTAGGCAATAAAATTCACTTCTTGAAAAGTAGGGGGATGGATATTCCCTACTTTTGCCCACATTTGACTTCCATTTTGTTCAACCTTTTAACATTGTCTATGTGATATTTGTGACACAGTATTTAAACCGACTCTAACACCTTCTCCTAGGAGCTAATATATGAAATCACTGAGCAGCAGTCAGACAACTTTTTAAAAAATCAAAATTTTGACTGTGTCTGCAGGTCACAGGCACATCATGGGAAAGTGGTATATTTTGTCAACTCTATTTGCGATGGCTGCCGGGTGTGATGAAACATGCGGGGAACGTAGGCCTTTTTTTTTTTTTTTTTTTTTTAAACACCTGAGCTCATTCCCGAAGGGCGGAGCCTAGCCCAGAAGACCAGAGAACCTATGTTGAGACACCATTAAGTAAACCAGGTTTACTGAACTTCATAGTTCTACTTCCTAGGTTTCAAGTGGAACAGATAAAGCTAGGCCAAGAGAGGATAAACAAAATTGCATTTTTGTTTACCTTTCATAATCTAAACTTAACCTTCCAGCAAACAGGACCATAACATATAAATGAACATAATTTCCAGTCATCAGTGAATTTTACCATTGCTCAGAAAACTACTTTTATCTGGCACAGCCTTATTATAGGGTGGTCCATTAAATTAGAATTTTTGCATAAAGAGTTTCACATATTCTAATAACCCTACCTGCATCGATCACAGCCTACCAAGCAGAGTTCAACAGATGTTCTAAGAAAATTATACTGAATTTAATCTTTGTTTAAAAGACTGAAGATCTGTTTTGTATCTTAGGGTCATCATAAGCAGTGTACCATACACTATGGAGACATCAGTGAATGGAGAAATTAGAAAGAAAACAACCAAGTTTAACATTGCTCATCCTTGTCATTATCAGAAGACACTGATGTTGCATGCACAGCATTATATAGCCCATTGCTTGCTTTTAACAGTGTTCACACACATAGCCACACATAAAAAAAGAGGACTTCACTTGTCTATTGCTGATGGTCAGTTTTTCCAGAAAATGTCGAAGAACTGTTGATGGATCTTCAATTAGACAGTTCCACAAGACTTGTTGGGCCACAGCACTCACTTTAGAAGAAAAAGAAAATTGAACATTTGTCTTAAATGGAAATAAACCTATTAGATAAAGTATTCAAGCAATTTACTAAGCTTTAATTAGTCTCTATTGTTTTGCCTTAAAGAAGTTCTGCAAACAAGCCCCCCGCCCCCAATAATTACCAACCATGGGTATTTTCATTTAAAATAATTTTTGAAGTTCTTGCAGCTGAAGTGTAAGATTTCATTGTTTCCAAGAACAATGTTGTTTACAGATGTTATTGTCATTAGATTGTACCTATATCTTTTGCCCTTTTTTGGGGGGGAAGGATTTAAAAAAATCTTAAGTATTTTTTAGAACATTAAGAATATTAAACTGTTACAAATTAAATCATCTCTACCTTTGGTTTATCATTTAATATTGCAATTATTCTCTTTGGGTAGTATCTCTGGAAAGATAACCAAGTGGAAAGATGGCATTAATGATGTGTAGCTAATAGCTAAGATTTTTAAGGTGGCCAAAATCACCATTTGATTTCCAGGTGGCCAAATAAGTGTTCTGTTCTCTGGTCATGAAAAATGCCCCTGGACCCAGCTACTTAGTTTAAATGCAATTTTTAGTCATACAGGTGGAAAGGAACAGATAGTGATAGTGTTAAAGTACAGTATAGATTTACAGTACTGCAAATCTATAACTATAACATGCATAAAACAACTCAACATGTGGCCAATAGTTAATATATTCAAGAACACCTTACTATCCTATTTGTAAGTATTTGGTTTTACTAATAAAACCGTACCTGCTACTCCATCTTCCCGCACCTCCCCATCCTCCATGAGATGAACAATGGGGAGCACTGCTGCACAGATGCATGCTGGGAACACTGCCTGTGGGGGCTGAGGCACATGGTGGTTTGGCGTGTGTTCCGTGGTGTGCTCCTCATCTGAAGCAGGAGACATAATCAAGTTGCTCTTATTCAGTATTGTAATTCTAGTGCAACAACACTTCTCAGTTCAAGACCAGTTATTTAACATTTTTTGGTTTATAGATATCCCAGCATCATTTGTTGAAAAGACTATTCTTTCCCCATTGAATTTTCTTGGTACGCCTTTGAAACATGAAATCCATATAATGGTTTCCTTCTGGTTGTTCAAATCTATTCAGTTGATCTTGATGTTAACCCTTATGTTAACACCATCTCCATCAGCATTGGTCATTTTTTTAAGTTCCCCTGGGTTGTGTAGCCATGGGGTGATAACCATTGGTTTCTGCACAACTTTTTAATATAATTTTATAAATGAGTGATAAAATTGGCATAACCATGAAGCATAATTTCTGTACGACTTTTCAATGACTTTATGAATCAGAGATGAACTTTGTATAATCATGAAGCAGTGAGTCCCAGGTAGCTGCTCATTATCAGGGAAGCACACCTTTGAAATTCTTGGGACTGAAGAGTATCACATTTCCCCCTGGAATCAGATTTCCTTACAGAAGTAGCATGAGCTATGGTCTTCCTTTGGTTGTTTCATGATTCCAGAACAGCTTCTAAAAGCACCCTACTGGGAACTGGCCACACCCTGAATACCCTGAGTAGATTTAAGAAATACCGATGTGTGGGTCCCACCCTTAGAGATTCTGATTTGTAATGTGTAGGGGGAGTTTAAAACTGTTAACTGGCAATTGGGTCTACGGAACCCTCAGCAACAATTTATAAAGGACAATTGCTGGATAAAAATCAATGATAAATTTTTTAGGCTACCACTCAATCCAATATTTTTTTAGAACTTCAAGTCATGAAACAAGCTATTTAATGAAGGCAGTGTAGTATAGTGAAGTGAAATAATGTTAACTGGAAACTGTTTCAAAATCCACGTCATGAGGAATAAATACCATATTTGCAAGAGGACACACCTTCAGCACTGACAGCCGAACGCACCGACCAGACGGACCCTCGGCGGAAGGAGTAATTCCTGTGGGAAGTACTGGAGGTACAGGATGGACTGACAGACAGTCGGCGGGATGCCAGATTGGTGACTTCTTCTACTGGCAAAGAATATGGGGAACGTGAACTTTGGTTTCATAACAAAATAGCTACCATCACAACTCTAGCTGAGCTTGCATTATAAGTGTACAGTGCTCTCAGAACATAAATCTTACGTAAGTTAAAGTATACTTAGAAAAGGAAAAAATATATACAGAAAGACAAAGTTCCTCCCAAAGATTCCACAAAAGCAAGGCAGAGAATCACTGATCTTAGAATGGTTTCTAAGTCATTTTCTGATACCAACCAACAAATTGTACTTCTGAGGGTTGAAGGTAGTTAATAGACTAATCCCATTTTTAACGATGAAAGATTGATTGCATCTACTTTTATAAACACTCTAGATTTAGCTGTTTCCTGAATCTTAATCACTGCTTGGTCCATTTTCATTTTGGTTTGTTCAGTGTGGCTAACATTCACCTCTTGAAACAGGCCGACTGAGATCATTTAGAAAACGAAAATATTTCTTTCTTCGGACAGTGTCAGGAGGTGAGAGAGAGGGAGCATATCACCTTATTTCATATAAAATTTTCAATGTTTCTTTTAAAGCA